ACGTTGACCTCCGCGCGTTTTGTTGCAAGGTGGCAAAATAAGCATCCGGCCGGTCGTGTGCTCGAGGGAGACAAGGGGTTTCACCGCTCGCGGCGACAGCAACACCACCACTCCTGACTCGCGTCTGGAATAATGGTTCCCAGACCAGTGAACCTTCCATTCCATTTCCAGGTGATCTTATCCCTGGTCGAGTATGAGTTTCTGAGATGGCAAGGCGGTACCATCAGCTGACGGATGACGTTATCAACCTTCTGTTTGTCTGTTTAACGTTCACACATTCCAGCGGTCGATATGGATCTTCAACTTGTTGATCTGATCAGCTGGAGATCAGATTTTTTTGCTTTAAACGTTCGGATCTGTGGATGTACAACACTCGTCGCAGAGATTTCGCGTAACTGGGTTATGTAGAGGAGCGAAAGCGGTACCCGATCGCTCGCAGCGGCGTACAGTGCTCTTGAACCAGTTCCAGTGATTTGAAAGAAAAATTGACGTCGTAAGAAAGCAGCAGCAGAGAAAAACAGCAAGCCATACATATGGCAAAGTAAATGCAAATTTGTGACTTTCTTCATTAGTATATAAAGACTCAACGATCTCTGAACATCAAAACATGCTCGATTACGAACCCCCACGAATTCAAAGTAGCCAAACTCGCAAATTCGATATTCAGGATGATTCTTAAGAATTTTACTCGCTCAACCTCTTTTGATGAATTGGCAATTTAGAAATACCATTCCAAAGTTCGAACGGTGCCCTAATTTCAATGCTTCTCGTAACAACAGTCTATTTAACGCCTTGCACAAACTTAGGATAAGTTCATTCACGAAAAGAAGTTGCGACTAATATTCATTCTTGAAGGCATGTCAGTTATTTGGTGCATTCAAAAATCTTAGCATGACTTTACACCTTGCGTATCTTATTCAGCTGAGCTAGACTTTGACGTTGAATTTCTGCCTAAAACACAGGCGAGAAAACGAAACCTTGCCATACACCAAGACTGTCTATCAGAGCTTCAATATTTTTCCATTAAGATTAGCTCATGGCGACGAGGAATGACTAACAACAGAATATCAAATCCATCGACGCTGCACTTGAACTTCTGCAAGAATTTGTCAAAAGAACTGCGCTGAAGGCTAGTAAAAATGGTAAAAAACTGATCTTCCCAGAAATTTGCCGTTGTCGAGTTGGTGACCCATTTCAAGAATAAGTTTGGTGACAATATTATCCATTTAAATCAATGTATGTGCACTGCCACGAATTCATTTTTCCGACACAACTATGAATTTCGAGAATCTACAGAAGTTTCTGCAGACAGTGATAGGCAGAAATCAGTGATTTTAAAGGAGTAGGAGAACTAATAAATGACTGTGTTATCTTAAGAGTTACTGAAATTTTTATCGGAGTTCCACATTCTGTCCATAAAAAGCTGAAGGTCTGTCATAATACCTTCGCTGACTGATTTATTACTCGGTGCGTCTTCATATATTACGTTCTTATTTTAACAACTTCTAAAAATTGTGGTTACTTAAACCTGCACCTAAACGAGTACTTATTCAGTGAAAACGAAATACTTCAGTTGGTCTCAGAACTGGCAAAAATGACGTCGTTCTATGTCGGAAAACTTAGGAATATACCGGCTTATAACGAAAAACGTTATTCATTCGGTAATGTGTCTGAAAAGTTACAGGATATATTTCAAGCACAGAGATCGGCTTTGACAGTTTCAAGAATTTTGAGCGTTGTCCATATGCGTTGGGGATCATCACGAGGTGTCGATGCAAAATAACATAGCCACAACTGCAGCTTTACAATTCTGTGTTGGATATAAACCTGCGATAGAGAATACTTAAATATATGAGTAACAAAACGAAGACGAATGCGTCGTCGAGGAATCCTAAGATTCCGAAACAAGCTTCGGGAATCAAGTCGAACGGGGACAGGGCGTAAACGAGCGCCGCTAGCACACAGACAACGATCCTGAAGCGGAACATCACTACCAATCCGTTCCAGCTGAAAAACTGACGGCATAGATGAGGAATCAGCACAGGTACGTCACGAAGGTAATCGAGGAAAGGCCTCGGTTCACCGGAAAATCGACGATTGTAATCGTTGATATCACGTCGGATGTCATTCATGTTCGATGCGTCACGCAACGTCCCGTCGGTTAACAGCAACGACACCCTTGAGCGACAGATGGGACATCGGATGGTACCCGGATATGCTCTGAACTTCCAGTAGTGGACGATGCAAGTTGCACAGAAACAATGGCCACAATTGGTCAACGCCGGGCACGTGATGGCGCCAAGGCATATCGGACAAGGGTTACGGGAATGATGCCTTAAGTCGACTGATGTCATTCTGTGTTCTGCGTTCATGCCGCTGCTGTCAGTGATCACGGCGGAACCGGAAACGTGATTGGAAGTGAAATTACCAGCAGCATAAACTGAACCAAAGAAACGGGTCATGCACGTCTTAACGCCATCGACCAGGTCTGAGCAGAAGAGTGGCACAGTTACGTTGATAAGGCTAAAGCAAACGACCATTATGAAACATACACAGCATCCCTTTAAAACCGTACATACGAATGTAAACGATTAAACCTCCTGTAAAAACTGTAAAACAGATTTCAACGCCATACCAGAAATAAATTTTTTATCACAGAAACATAGCTTTGAAAGCTGCAAAACAGCGATCCCTTGTTTCAGTGTTTCGAACATCACAAGGAATAACTACAAGTGCTAGAAAGCCAAGATGACCAATATCTAGAAAACTAAGGTAACAACACTGACAACCAAAATGGGACCTTAATCAAACTTGAAAAATACCAGTCAGAAATACCGCACATTTTGAGAACAAGGTATAAAGGAATATAGTACAGAGACACTACTAACGCTGGAGAGCTGATGAATGGATAGGGGGTAAACTAGGCAATGACAAACATAACGGGCATGCAGAAAATTCCTCTGACTGACTGACAAAAGAACACATGAAATAAGTGGTTTGTAAATCCTAGAGCTAGCCTGCAGTGAATGCAAGATCAGATTAAGCAGATCCGAATCGATATAGAATGCTGATCATTTAACTTATCTTCATTACTCATTTCGTTGTATGGCATCAATGCCAACATAATCTGTCAGATAACTCAGCTCACCAACGACTCCTACTGCATAATGTTACTTAGGAACAGGGGCTCGAGATTAACAACCTCTTGACGGCCAAGACACCCATAATCCGACCCCCAGAAGAAGAAAATAGCCAAAAAAAGGCCAATCAATTTTTTCAAATTAATAACCTGCGAATCACTGCTTAATATCAACAGTTAAAGGATAACGTAGGAAACGCGGTTAAAGTGTACCGCGCAACGTCCAGTCAAAACCCACAAATTCATATTTCCATCCATAATGAGGTCAGTAGTCACCGGTGGCATGGCGTTGGTCACTAAGAACGCACTTTAAAATTGCTATGCATTTATATTACCATTTTTAGGGAATCCAAAATGTGGATCACAGATATCATGGAAATACTGTTTATGGGGATACGGACTGATTAAGAGCACCTTCTAATACGCAACGGGAAAAGAATACTGAAAAAGTATTATTTGAGAGCGATAGTGGTACCAATGAGGGTGAAATCATGGTCATTA